CCCCAAACCATCATGACTGATAGCCTTCTTGCAAATTAAATCTTGCAGGTGTTTAAAGGAAAAAAAAAAAAAGTGGACAGGTTAATCACTAGATTAACAGGGCAATTGTTGCAATTTCTTCAGCACTACTTGGGTCTATAATTAAGTCTGAACCTGAGAATCTTTCCCAGGCTATATTCAAGTTTAATAAAAGTCTAAATAAAACGTAACTCCAACTAATAGGATGATACATGTTAACTAGCTGCAGATTCTTCCAAAAGAGAGCTCTTCTAAGTAGAAGAGATTGCTGTGTATCCAGGGCTATAGTTTGAAAGTAAAAGAAATGCTGCTTATACAATATTTCCCTCACTGAATACTATTTTCATGATTGTTAGGAGATCTTAATGACATCATCTGCAAATGTTGTTTGTTTATATAATCTTTTTTTTTTTTTTTAATCTAGAGGCCCAGTGCATGAAATTTGTGCACTCGGGGGCAGGAGGGAGGGTCCCCCAGCCTGGCCTGTGTCCTCTCACAGTGCAGGAGCCCAGTGCACAAGGGGGAGGAGGGGCCACAGGAACCCTGGCAGGAGCCGTGAAGAGTGGCCTCTGGGGCCCCACCTCCATGGCACGCACATGCGGCTGTGGGAACCTCCTCACCTCCACTGGGCATGCAGTCATCTTGTGATGGCGTGAGGACCACCTAGGCTTTTATTAGTAAGATTTATCCTTATCCTTATCTCTTATCTGCATAGGTTTCTTCCCACTACTGTTTGTTGGGGGAACAGCAACATTATGATATTGAAGAAATATTTCTACGTATTCTTGTCTCAAATTATATAAAAACTAGAAGAAGGAAGCAAAATTTTAGTGCTCTTAGGAATTTGTGTTTATGACTGAAGTATCAATGCCCCTAATCCATAAAGAATGCTATAGCTCTAGCTGGTTTGGCTCAGTGGATAGAGCATCAGCCTGCAGACTGAAGGGTCCCAGGTTCAATTTCGGCCAAGGGCACACACCTGGGATTCAGTGTGAGGTGTGCAGGAAGCAGCCGATCAATAATTCTCTCTCATCATTGATGTTTCTATCTCTCTCTCCCTCTGAAATCAATAAAAATACATTTTTTTAAAAGAGAATGCTATAGACTTTAGATCTGAACAAGGACAGAAAACAATCATCCTTGACATTGCCTGCACAAACCATCTGTCTTGAGTTTTGATTTCCTGCTTGATTTAAACAACAGGGTATTTCCCATGCAGAAGGAAAAACACAACACGGGATATTTAGAAATGATTACTATTTGTAGTCCTGTTTGTTACTCTCGCTCTTCAAGGGATAATGTTTACAAGACATTACTCCCTTAGTAAAGAACAGTTTTAAGTGTGTGTTATGGTAGAAAGTAAAACCTGCATTAGTTGGACTAAACACATCAGCATCTCCTGCAAAACCTCCAAGAAGTCCCTGCACCTTGCCAGCTCCTCGGTGAATCACTAAGCTAGAAATGTTCCCAATTCCTTCTCTACTTGTGGCTCAAAGGGGAGCTGGGAAAAGTGTGAGCTATTAGTTCCATAATAAGTCTCTAGTGCATCTAGTAATGAGCTGACATCCCATTGTTCAGCCAATGCCCATAGACTACAAAACTATTTTTCATACCCACTGCTTCAAAAACTTTTGAGGCAGCAAGTGAGCCTGTTGGGAATAAGGACTCCACAAAATACAATTATTAATTAACACTGTACATTTCTTAGAGCTGACATCCCGAACTGTATACGCTGGTAGTTGGGCTCATGATATGAACATAGCTGTGACTCACAGTCCTCCCCTAAAAGAAGCATTCTGAAGACAGCCTACATTCTTGTAGCAATCCAAACAACTCTTCATAAAAAATTAATTTGGTTTAAAAATATCAGCTGCATGCCATAAAGGGTTACTTTGACCTCAATCCATCCCACCTTACTTCACAGTGCCAGGGTTTGTATGAGAGGGATATGACATTCTTATACTACTCCATCAAAGAGAAAGAAGGTTCGAGAAGCAAGTGATAAATTTAAAGAATCAATTTTCAGGGGGCCTTCATTTTGAGAGTTGGGTTATTTTTGTCCTTGTTTTTAGAAGAACAATCAGCCCCTACTTTACCCCCCAAGCATCTGAGAAGAGGAGAGCAGGGAAAACACGGGCACAGCTGTCCAATTTACATTCACAAATGCAGGTGTTGCACAGACACAAAACAGAGGTCAGCTGAATACTGCTCCTAATTAGCTACCTTTTTCACAAGGATTTTTCTTTGTGAAGTTATGCATGCAATTTGGGTTCAACTTAGAGACCATTTTTAGATCCCAGCATGCTACCCGCTAAGAAGCGAGCTGTCATTATAAAGCATAATTTACAGCATAGTTAATTTTACATGGTTGTGTGTGTGTTTAAAAAAAAAAATCTACATCATACCTAAGGCAAAATTCTATTCTGCACACACATCGCTCACTCCGTTTTCCATCCACTTCTCAATATTTAAAAGTGTAGCGTTTAGCCAGAAAACCTTTTATGAAGGAATGGGAGAATTTTTGCCCTTTTTCTAAGATTAAGGAAGTCCACCATTCTAATAATGAGGACCAAAGACTTTGTTCAATGATATAGGAGACGTAACTGTTTGCTATTGTCTTCGGTGGGGAACACCCTGGGGCTGATGACAGCACTTCTTAGAAACGGCAGGATGGAGCCTGGGATCCAATACAATCCATTAAGAAACCCAAGCCCTAAATGAAATGACCACAAAATCCTATCAGTTCACAGAAATGCAGCAGCTGTACATGTTTATTGTAACACAAGAGGATATTGTTACAGAGATAACACTCTTAAAATAAAATAAAAAATAAGAAGAACCCAGCAAGTGATGTGACCGGTTTATTTCTCTATTTGAAAAACGAGAACGTCTGTAGTGTGGCAGAGCTTTTGATACATAAATAAGCATGAAGATTGCGGAGAAGACAGGCATGGTATGTGTACACTAATGGGCTGCTGGGATCAGCCGGCAAATTTCAAGCCACGGTGGCGCCCAGGTTTTGCAGGCTGCTCAAAGGCCTTCCCCAACAACCCTGCAGCGGACTGAGAAGTATTCCACGTGCTAACTCTTATCTCGGCCTCCAGTTGCCCAGTTTTCAAAACCGTATGCTATGGAAGGTTGACCTTGAACTTTATAATGATGTAATATTACATATGACTTACAGTGATTTAAATTTACATATGGTATTATTATATATGGTATTTTATATAGCTATGTTTAGACCTATGTAGAATATGAATATATATATAAAATTATATATATAAGTATATATGTAGATATATAGATATAGGTAGATTAGTCTAGGTTGTTTTCCAATTGGGTCAGGTGTCTTCCTTCAAAGGCTCACCAAAGTGAAACCACTTTGCAAAGTATAACGAGTATCGCCAGGATTGTAACAAGTTCATCTTGCTGGATTGTATTCACTACAGGCAGTCCATCAAAATTCAGACCCATAACCTTTCAGAATCATAGAAAGACAAAAAGGAAACCTGTTGTCTAGCCATCTTCCAGGGTGGAATGCCAAGTATTTTGTTGTGGTAACAGGGATTTGAAGACTAAAGCACTGGGGCCATTCCTGTGATTATTACCCCAGTGTTCAGCATTTGAAAGGGTGGGCCCAGGGTCTCAGAGATCATTGCATCCTTGTATATTAAAGCAAACCATGTCTCCACGCATTGCTCTTACCACCCTCTTCTGAAGCTTCACTGCCCCTCCTACCACACAAGGGAAAGTGAACTTGACTGGTAACTGTCCCAAAAGAATTGTAGTTTCCTTCCTTGCCTTCCTGTCCCAGTGAAGATTGTGAGCCTAATTCTTAGAGACTGCTACTAAATTCCACCCTACTGGATTCTGCAGCCTAATTCTCTCAGCGTTATGTTTTTTGGCAGAATGATGTGACCCAAATTTGCAGGAGATAATTTGCTGCAACAGTGCTCCTTGTAATGCAATGAGCCCGAGATGAGCATTTCAGGATTGCGAATATCAGACTTAAAAAATAATTACTATATGCTTATAGAAAGGACAGGTTTTGCTCTTTCTTGTATTATGGAAATGGAAATGCTCAGCAAAGTGTGGACCATTTTATGAATTAAGGAAGCCTTACAGATCAATGGAAATAATCAAGAACTAGCAATTTACTTCAGTAATTGGTGGCAAAATGCTATAGAAGTTCTTTAAAGATTAAGAAATTAGCTGTGTGTGTACATGTATGTGGGGGATTGTAAAACCATCATGCATTCCATTTCCCATCAGTGGTGGCTAATCCTGTTTTTTAAAGGGACATTTTCAAATCTGAGATGTCTTAAAACAAACAAAACAAAACATAACAAAAAAAGAAAAAACACAAAACTATGACTATGGCCATTCCTGTGTTGACACTATGCCTCTCAATGCTTGGCTGTATGAGCAATGCTGGTTCATGAATTCATTCTTTCACCTTTTCTCAATATCAATCAACTTTAATATAAGGTGTCAAGAGAGACTTGACGTGTTCCTTGATTAGAATTTGTGGGTTGGATTTTGGAAAGAGCCAGAGCAATAGTCCCATTGGGAGCCAGGAAACTGAGTGCACTGAAGCTTCCTGGCCATGCATGGCCTGTGGCTAGCTCCTCAGGAATCCCTACCACTTAGCTTGCCAGATCCTAGTTTGCATGTTCTACTGCTGGGGAGTCCCTGTCACTTAGGATACCAGCTGCCATCACCGTGTCCTCATCAGATTCATTCACCCTCTCAGAATTCAAACACCAAGACCAGAGAAACTGAAGAACAGGTTATTACATACATTAGAAGGGGATCCCTTATCTCAAAAGGTTAAGTATGACAAAGAAAGAGAACAGAAAAAAAAATAAAATAAAATAAAACAGAAAGAATAAAAGGTGCACAGTGTTTCCAGCTAGAGGCTAAGAGGCACATGCGCACGTGGGCGGGGGAGGCCTGCGGGCCGCCTCTCTACGTGCTCTTACCTTGTTTCTCTTGAAGTAGGCTCGTCGGCAGGCGGCAAAGCACTTCTCGCTGCAGAAGCTTTTCACCTCACTTCCCATACTCAGGGAATAGCGCTTGATCCCCACTTTCTGGCACCAGGCACACATTATTTGTACATTTGACACATCATCTTCTATAATAAAAGTATAAGAGAAATGTTCATATCAGAAGCAAACATCCCTTCAAGCTCAAGTCACACCCTGAACCTGAAAGAGCTACTCAAGGCCTGATTTCAATCTCCGCATCTCACCGTGTTCTGACCTAGGAGAATAGCCAGCTCTTGGGGGGAGGACTCAGTGCTTTTTTTTTTTTTTTTTTTGCTTTTAAGTTTCCAAAGACATCACTTACTTAAAAACCAGATCATGGCTACAGAGCCCTGAGAGTTCCCAGGGCTGCTTAGCCTGGTGAAAATGCTTATTCTGCTGGTTATAGCAGGCTCAGTACTAATGAAGCTTATAGAATGGGCCATTTCTTCAAAGGTGCCGCTGACAGCCTAAGGATCTGCATATGGGGGGGGGGGGGGACACACCACACCCACATGTGTGATGTCCTAATGTGTACCTTGACAGTCAGGAGCCAGGACCAATCTTGGCATGTTCCCTATCACATGTTACATATGGAGTACTATTATTTACTTTTGTAATACAATGATTCCCAAATGGTATGGTTAGTCAACAACAGAGAGATGTGAGTGGCCAGATTCTGCTGGTAGAAAGGCAGTGGCCCGGCGCACTCGGTGGTCTCCTGTGATACAGCCTTCCCACATGGGGTCCCAGACAGGCAGGCACAGGCCTGACTGAAATTCTCCTCCATGAGATGTGTGTGACTCATGGTCCCTGGATGGAGGGATAGTCATGGGGTGTCAGCCATGAGCCCTGAGCTCACACGGCTGCCCAGATCACTCTTGGCCAGGTGGATGGTCCTCACAGCTCCAGGGGGACCTGTCGCCCACGTCATGGGGATGCTCAGAATGATGTGAGGTGGTATGCAAATATTTTTAAATGCTGTATTTCTTTTCCTTTGTAAGAAAAGGAAACAAATTTAAGTAGTACAAGTCCATGACATCACAAATACTACGGCTTAATACAAACAGACTTTTAACGTGAGCCAGTAAATGAAATGTAATAATAATTACAGTGCAGGTAGCAAGATGTTAAGACAAACATGGGATGGTGATATTCAAACGACTGAAGTCTGGAAAACTTTGGTGGGTGACTAAGCATAGACCTTAAGTACAGGTCTGAGAAATATTCCCTTGCCATTTCCTGTGTGCTCTGGCTATATCTCTAGTTTCCTTGGTCCTCCCAAATGACAAAGTGTGTCTGACTGGTTGCCACTATTAGCCACATCTCTTTATGGATATTTTATTATTATTATTATTATTAACCCAGACTCATGCTCCAGACATGAATGGTAATCACAAAATCCCCAACAAGCTCTTATATAGTGTTGTCTGATTCTGACTAAAATCCCCCAAAGACTAATTGCTAAGCAAGGCCTGGTCCATGAGCTGTTGACATATTCATGGTTCACAGAACCTGTCATGCAATCATTCCATTTCCAGGGGAAAGACTTGGTTTGAGGCAGTGTGGTCATCAGCCTGCAAAATTAGAAGCAAACTAATTTGAAGTGCAGTGATACAGCTTTTTCCCCTGAGGATCACCACTCAGAACCATGTGCAGCATTTTATTTACTTTAATGGAATATTGTCATTTTAATCACCACTTTATTTTATAATTACATATTGTGATTTATTATAATTAATAATAAATGAGACAGTGTAACAAGGACCTTTGATGTTAATCAAACATTTCTGATAACCTAAGTTTCTTTAAATGGAGTCAATGTGAGTTCAAATATTATACAATTACTGTATTTAATAATTTGTTCTATTCAAAGAAAGCTTTGTGTTTTATATCACCTCTAACATGGCATCTGTCTATAGACATTGTACATGTATGAAGAATTAACAAAACTCTATAGTTTACCTTATAGTACAGAGGGTTTTTAAAATTAGATTAGAAATGTTATACCTTTTAAATAATCATCTGTCATTACTAAACTCGCTAGCACTAATAGTTTCTTATTTTCCCAAGCGATTAGCTACTTTATCATCTTAAATTCCTGAAAAAAGATGATACAGCAGAACTCTCTCTCACAAATGATCCATCGGCAATAACCTTGATTCTGGTGAAATCTGTAAGGAAAAATACTTTATGCGAGAAATTATTTGGCCTCGTTATTCAAGGAGGAACTTTAGGACATACATTAGGTTTCCCTCATCGTTTCCTTCATTTAAATTATCTAAAACTGAGATGACAGAGAACAGAGCACAAAGCTGCAACAGGGGTGGTGGTTGGCCTGTGATTCCTGCCCAGAGGAATGACATTTGGAACAAAAAGGCCACTGGTGGGTCTTCCTCATGCTTCCTCCATCAATACCAGACAGACCATTTGTCACTTTTTAAGGGAAGCAAGGATACTTCCCTACAAACAATAGACTTAACAAATGGACAAAAAGTAGAATTTTAAAGCAGACTATTTTTATAAATCATTTGTACTATGAAGTATCAACACGAGAAGACGAAACAAACAAAAAAATTGTGTATCTGAAAATTGGAAATGGTTAGCATCTGTCTTGTTAAATAATTCAGTATTCCCATCCGTTTTTTCATAAAACTCCGCTTCATAAAGGCAAACATTTTGGAAAACTTCCATGAGATTTCTCTTTTTCTGTCATAAACTGTTATCAATAGCTAATGCTCCAGAGAAGAGTCTGATAAATGGATTATTCCACAAATTCAAGAAAACATTTTTACATGTCTTCGGTATTTTAGTCTTAATAGAAGTCAGTTTTATTAATAGTATATTTAGGAAACTAAGAAAGATCTTCAATTATATACATTAATTTTGTCAGCGAAAGCATAACTCAAGATTCTGCCACCAGACATGAGATAGTGTCCCACCTTAAGCAGGATTACTGCACCCCTAGAAAAGTGAGCTTTTCTTTAGTGCTGAAACCTGGAACTTATGTACATGCCTTATGTTAGCAAAATTGAAGGCCCCAGCACTTCAGCTTTTTTAATTTGATCTGATTCAAATTTCTTTATTTAAAACATATTTCTTCAAACTAGGGAAAACCTGATGTGCTGTCTTATATTTAGGCTCAAGGTCTGTGAGATATTGAGACTTGAGATTACCTCAAAGAAGACTCATGGAACATATTTTTCCTAACTGCCATTAGCCTATGTATTTTTCATAATGAACAATGCAACAACAAATGCAAAATATTTATAGTATTAAATCACATTCCCAAATTGAATAGTTTGTATAACATGATAAAAATTTTCATATGATAATGTCACATAAATATGCATCAGTCAAAATATGCATGTTTCAATTAATCATGAAGTTTGTACCACCTCTTTAGAATTTAATTAAGCAAGATGTTTAGGGCATTTTCTTTCCAATCTAATGTTCAAAGAACTATAGAAAATTATTCTATTTTACATCCCAGAAGGAGAAGTTCAGATTAATTACTCTGAGATGAAATAAAAATTGTGTTTGTTTATCACAGTGCAGAGAAGTATGATGTCAAGCATTTCTGGAATGCCTTGCTGAAGTTGTTTGAGGAAGTGCACTATTTGGTGACTATTAAAAATAAGAATGGCCATTGGCCAGTGGCATTCTCGGGGCATTTGGATTGGCTATGAATTTGCATACTAGTTTAAGTGACAGAGCCCAAAGACAATCAGAAGGGCCTTAATGGACCCCAAGTGATTAAACTGTAGATTTATCATCCCTTTGTAGTTTCCATGGAAATCCAAGACTGAAGGGGCAAATCTGAAAATATTTGCTAGTGACATTTCTCTCCTCCAATAATTCCTAGAATGTACATGTGCAGATACTCATTTCAAGTTAGTCTGAAGGGACCTGCGAGTTCTCCCTACCTTATTAGAGCTATGGCATAGGTGGCACTCGGTCAAACTATTTGTTGGAGCAGCTATACTTAAGACAAAATGAAGATGTGGTCTGGAAGGCAGGCAAGAAACTATAGAGTTAAAGTGTGCTTTCTTATCAGCCCTTTTTTGGAATAATTCAATTCCAAAAGCTCTAGGGAAGTCCAATATAAAGTTTCCATTGTGTTCTATAGATGCTTCTGTACAATTTCCTGTGTTCTAAACATGAACATTTAAGGATAGCCAGAGAAAATTTGAACCACTGATCCAAAAAGAAAATAACTGTAGCTAGCCTTATTCAGTATTTAGTAGGTGCCAGGCACAATGCAAAATTCTTTAAATTCATCATTCAATCTTAATCACAACCACTACCCACAGGCAGGTACTAACATTATCCCCACTGTGCAGACAGGGTAAACGAGGTTGAGAAGGTAAGTAATTTACTCCAGATAACACAGCCAGTACATACTAAAGCCTAGATGAAGACCAGGCCATCTGCTGCCAAGCCCAAGCTCTTGACCACTACACCTTAAAGCACACAGCCTTTCTAAGCATGGGAGGCCGCACACCATCCACACATACTTCCTTCTACAGAAAGCTGCCACAGGTTCTGCTACATACGCCGGACACTGTTCCAGGACACACTAACAGAGAAAATGGAACCAAAAGGGTCAAAATGTCTTTGAGGAGACAGCTGAAATGTTAATCAATATTTGTCAACTGACTTAACAAAAAAAAAAGGTAAAGGCCTGCAGTGCAAGCCTTTATGACTATGGGACTTGAATTTACTGCAACCATTCTATCTGCACGTTCACTAGCAAGTTCCACTTAAGCATTCAATGATGACAAAGAACCAAGAATACCTGGATCACAGGATGCAGTCATTCTACCCATAGGCAAGCAATAGTCTTCCCAGATTTCTCTTTTGTAAGGAGGGGGACCAACAGTAAGACATGGATAAGATTGACTTTCTATGTGGGTCAAGTGAGTAATCACTCACATTTATAATTTCAAAGATCCCAATAAGAATTATCTCCGCTTCAAAAATTATCCCTCAACTGCTCACTAAAATTAAGTTCTACCATTAGAGAAGACCTTATTTGACTAAATATTTCTTATATCCCATTAAAACACAAGATCCCTGAAAGCAAGAAGATTTAATATACATTTTTCAA